AGCATTTTTGGATTAATGTTCGATCCCGTAAAGTCGATAGTGTAACCAGCCAGTTGATCATGAAATTTGGTATCCTATACTTAGTGGTACTATTATGGAAAGTAGCTTTATGATTTAACACTCAAATATTGTAGGATGCATATTAGGTCTCACGAGGATCAAATCGTTTCAATACTTTCATGAATAAACTGGCATTACAATCGCCAACGATACTCTTCACTAACTGTAAAAACACTGAATAGACTATATTTGAAGTAACTGCTACCACCAAATAAGTTCATGAAATCAAATACAAGCCTAATTTATCGATGATACCAATGTAGAGTATTTAGACTAAGCTTCAAGTTAAATCTGACCATCATCAATAGAAAATGGATAAAATTTACACAAACATAATCAATTTTTTTTGAAGTACCTGGTTATCAAGTTATTGAAGATGTCCCGGAGTGGACCAACGGATAATTTTTCACGACTTAATGTTAACAGGAAACAATCCTAAAACGTGAGTAAATTTAAACGAATGATGAATAACGTAAAATCCTTCTTTTAAATTGATAATCAATTTATGATTTAGCAAGCAAATGATGAAAGAAGATTAATGGTATGACAAATTTATAAACAGTTTATAAATCTTTACAAGGAAGTGACAACTTTTTTTTGCTATTTATCTTCCTCTAATCTTTTATTCTATAGTTTCTGTGCATGATATCAATATCAAATCTACTGTTTGAAGTTATGTCCTGTATCAGCGGATTGTTTGTTAAAAGTACAGTTTTACTTTTATTTGAGCATTCTAAACATTCAAGTGATAATTCTTAAAAGGTCAATCATTTTCTACTATTATTTAAAGGAAGTCCAAGGGAAATTGCTAAAGATCATGCCTTTATTCTCCGATAGAAGGTTTAAGCAAGGTTAAATCACCTCGAGTATTACTTCCTAAGGCAATAAATAAGTCCATTATATGAACATATCAATTCAAAGCTAGTAAAATGATGGATAATGTTACTGTTCAATCCATTTGATTACGATGATCAAAGAACTATCGTCATAGAGCAATACTTCCCCTAAGTTGAAACAGTTTATATCATTTGTATTACTGTAGAGAACAAGCACTTTATTTTAGAATTTCCATTTCCTACAGTGGTATACAATGTGTATTTTGATGACTGAATAAATCTTCAACGTCATATCAATGAACATCGATGGATTATCAATTCGGATACTGTGCTCTATTTGCAATCATAAGATTGTCTCCTTCAAATACTTTTTTTATTCCAAAGTAACGCAGTAGTCTATTTTACGTCACATGCAACATTTCAAATCACGGGATATGAGAACTACATAAATACTCATGGTTTGCGTTCGTCTATAGAATCATCAAGATGCAATCAAAATTGGCGCAATCGACAGCAATCGACTAGTACTTGATTCGTCATTATATTAAAAATTGATGTAGAGCATCCGAGAACATTAGCAACGATAACATTAGAAGACCCATTGGTGATGTTAAAATCGCGTCGACTCTAAAGCTGTTGCGGAAGGATTTGTATAGCTATAGCTTGATATAATAATATCAATAGTAATATCTAATACGTCTTTCCTAGCCTTGATGATAATCAATTAGTTGATGTGTGGCGGCTGTTTTTAAAGATTCCATTGAAAAGATTCATTTTATGTTTTAAATTGTATCACAGTGACCAAAATAAACTTACACGCCAATGAAACCCTCACAAGTTCTTTCATCTTCAAGTATCATAGAAATTCAATGCTAATAACTGCATAGAAACACCTATTGCCTAGGCAAAGTTATTACTGTTACACTATCTTTCATCATGATATCATCAACATGGTTGTGGTCTGTTTGTAAATTATTTGTTTCCATCGCGCACAAGATGTATTTCAAGTGCTGTTACTGCGTTGACTACTAACCCTTCACAAGGTATTGCCTATTTTTATTAACCTATCCATTAATCATTTCACTTTACGTGATGGCTTGTCTATTTATTTTCATGTCAACTGGATATGCGTAATGGGTAAATCCTAATCGTTACAAGATGTTGCCCTTGCTCAGTCCATCGATAATCATTTTCAGTAGATAGTAGCTTATCCTATTAATTGGATCTCTTAATCAGAACGCTAACAAGATGTTGCCCTTCCAAGTCTACACAGTCAATTCTATCATGCATAATGTATTCAATCGATCGATTCACCATATTATTTTTTTATGTAAATAGTGTTTGTATAGTGTATGTTATTAATTAATAAAACAAACAGAATAAAATCCCCATACAATAATCTACAGTAGTTTACCATTATAAAGTCATTACTATGGACTTAATAAATGGATGTTGCATTTGGTAATCATTGAAATAGGACGATCCAATATTGATTTATTTATAGCCCAAGAGAATAAGAGTTGTATCATCCATATAAAGTAATAACCCTTGGATCAACGAGTCCATTGGAGTGTTTAGCCTAACACATCATGCCCAAATATACATATTAGCACGCAGAAAATAGAAGACCATAAAAGAGAAAAAGTGATTACATTTCGGATTATTCTTGAGTGTTGTGAACGTTTGAATAGAAAGTTTTGTATAGTCATTCCTTATTTAATTTCCATCGACTACAGCCATGGATAGTTAATCGTTATAAGATTGAATTGACTTTTCGATGTAAACTAGAAATTGATGATTATATATCAATTATGGCGCAACGCTAGAACCACTACGACTACAGTAGTTGGTAATCTTTTTGGAGTAAAAGCTTTGTATGATCATTCGCAATTCGATTTCTATCCAAGATAGAACTATGGATAGTTATTATTACTAGAATTGAATAGATTTTTATAGACAAACTATCAATTTTATGATCATTCTTCCATATTCTTATTGTCAAACGATA